AAAATACATCCCTATGCCTTTCCTACTCTAGACAGAAACTGGACATCTCATTTTAGGCAAAGAAGTGCCTTTACCAGTGGATGTGATTTGAGACCNGGGTGGGGCAGGGGAGCTTAGGTATAAATTGACCTATTATCTGTAAACTTAAATAAAATTACCATACTTATACACATCTTTCTTTTCTTTCTTCCAGAAGTATATTCTATATGTGATATGGAACCAAGCACATTCCAAATTCCTTAATTTATAAAATAATTTTATAAGATTACTATTAAAAAATTACAACATTCCATCATATCCCTGAAGTTTCCTTTTCAATTTTATAATTTTTTAAGGCTTTGTTACATACAACTTTCTCTACATAGCCTACAACACAGGGTACTATTGTCCTCTCCGTGATTCCTGGACGTCTGTCAGCCCACTCCAGAGGCGCAGGCCCCATCGTGAAAACGAAGCGTAACGATTCCACTTTAGTGCAAAACAATTGTCAGCGAGGCCAGATAAAATGGCTGCTGGTCTGGTTACCTGGCAACTCGCACAAAACCTCGTGTTTGAAGATGAAAATCCTGAGATTTTTTATGTTCATTTACACTGGGATCAAAAGGCAAGTATCTTTGCTGCCGATCACCATTAATTGGGAGTGATACAGTTCAGGTTTTTCTCTGCCATCACTTATCTGGTTTGTGTGTTTAATACCCTCACCCTGTCTGCTGATACCTACCACTAACTTTCTACTTGTTTCACTTTTATTTAATGAGAATCATTAACTTGTAACCATAGCAGATTTTTTATCTCTTGGTTTATTATTCTGATTCAGAAGATGAAGATTGAATTATCTTATCTCTCTGTTTCCATCAGTCATTTGTCATTTGTACTTACGTCTCTGTCTTCATCAGTCATTTGTCATTTATACTTACGTCTCTGTCTTCATCAGACATTTGTCATCTTTACTTACATCACTATTTTAATCAGTCATTTGTCATCTTTAATTACATCTCTGTCTTCACTAGACATTTGTCATCTTTACTTACATCACTATTTTAATCAGACATTTGTCATCTGTACTTACATCTCTGTCTTCATCAGTCATTTGTCATCTGTACTTACATCTCTGTCTTCATCAGACATTTGTTATATGTACTTACGTCTCTGTTTTCATCAGACATTTGTCATCTGTACTTACGTCTCTGTCTTCATCAGACATTTGTCATCTGTACTAACATCTCTGTCTTCATTAGACATTTGCCATCTTTAACACATGTCTCATTTTCATCAGTCATTTGCATAAATTTACATAGTCTTATTGTCCACTATACTACTTGTCATAATGTGTTATATAAATACTTTTTAGCAGCTTAATTGGATATAACTTTGCATATAGAAGAACCAGTGCTAGGGAAAACATCTTTTCAATGGCTGACTTTCCTGGAAAAATGGTGGGATTCTTTAATGTTGAATTACCGTCAACACTACATTACAAAGAATGACAGACCTCTATAACAAACTCTGTGTAAGAAACTGTATAAAGATGGGACAAAATGTCACAGAGCTTGTCTCGCTACAGTAATATAGTGACAACAGCATGAAGAAAGGGAGACAGAAGGAGGAATATGGATGGAAGGGAGTTATATTTACAGCCGTTACAAGGAACAGTCGTAGCGGAGAGATTGATGGGTGGTTTATGGACGAGGGAGATGTCAGGTTTGTGTACTGTGGATTAACTTATCTCTACCAATGAGAATTATGTGATAAATAATTAATCCATCGAGAGCGGATCTGAGAGTAACAGTGATCTGAACGTGGCTCTATCAAAAGGAGGTGCCTGTCACAGTATCGTGAGGGGAGATACCCATGTCTAACACTTCCTGTAGAAGGCGATTCACGGGGCCCTGTTACCACATTTCTGTGTGTGTCGGACCTCACTTCCACAAGCTTACACCCTTGATTACAATCTACCCTGATCAGGAAATATAAAATATTTAATACTTTAAAGAAAAGACTCTTTCATAGCTACACGCACATGTTAGCTAGTTCACACATTTATACAACGGCATTTTTGTACAACAATCTATTCTGACCCAAGGCATTGAACTCGGAATATTTTAGAAAGGTCAGGCAGTAAAGGGCCTCAGTCATCTGAAGGATAAACACATGACTTTCAGTAAGACTCAGGCTTAATTGACAGCCATCTTGCAACTCACTCAAATGCAATAATGCTTTTTTCATAACTGAACTCTAGTTGCCCAAACAAACCTGGCACAGTATAGCAGTTTGTATGCCTCATGGCCACACGGATGAGTGTTTCAACAGTCGGAGTCCACAATACGTTTTATCGTGCACTTAATCGTTCAACCGTTTCAACCACAATAGCATGTGCACGTTTGCACGTGTGTTTTAGGTAAGGCAGCGAGAATGTTCCCAGCTCGTTCAGCATATGCTCAAGTTCAATGCAGTTGTGACGATGTGATTATGCGATAACATTTTTTATAGATACATGTTACATGTGTTCCTTGTGCGTGTCTGGTACCTCTTCAGACATCCAAAACACGATCTCCTACGGAATGTTTAAAAGCTTTTTATTCTACCCTACTTGTGAAAGACAAGATGCTAATTTACATTATATTTTTACTTTATCAGCAACTGGAGATCTATAAGTTAGTGGAACTGTGGTGTTTATAAGCACCTGCACCCCCAGTTTGTACTATTTTTACAGATGAGACCCCGAACTGGGTGTAAATAACGTGACTTCCTCCCACTTACATTCCTAGCCTGGTTCAGAACAACTTATACCAATAGAAATGAGATACAGGTATACCAATTTATCATCTGATAGGCAGAGAATTCAGTACAGAAAACTAGTAATCCGTAGGTTGTAGCATCATGTAGCAACATTGAATGATTTTATCAAAGACAAAAAAAGATTTCGGGAAAATGTTATTCTGAAGACAGTATAAGCTAATATTGAAATTTATGATGAGTTAAGATTTAGGCTGAACACAAGATTTAGGTATTACAATGAAGACTAATGTGAATTATCATAAATGTTATGTTATTATCCAAATTGTATCATCTATATGTGTCCTGCAGTTTCTGGAAGTTTTGTCAGCCATGTAGAGAATTACCCGGCAGAGGAAGTGATGGAATAGGTGTGTTTTTAATGTTGACTTTTTACGTGGCGGCCAGTTGATGTGGAGGTTCGCCTGGTGTACATCTCCTTGTTTATCTGAGGAGCAGCTGCTGAACCCCTTACCGTTCCGTATTTTTGGAACTCGTAGAAAAACTGCAATACATTAGAACTGGGCAGGAGAAGTAACGGGAATATAATGAGTCCTTAGTATAAGGAAGTCGTCTGTTTGATAAGTGGCAATAACTCTCAAAATATCGTCATAAATGTATCTAAAACTTGTCAGTTCAGCAAACACGTTACCAACGAGATAAACACTCACAACTACATAGCACCTTATCATACGAGGGTATCAAGCAAAAATGAAAAGTTTTTATTTTGCCAAGGAAATGAAGTGCTATTAATATTGCAGCTGATTATTATTTACAAAACGACTTTGGTGAAAACACTTCCAACAAAGCAAGCAGTTGCTAGCACAAAACTGTTTTTTGGTGTACAGAATGATGGAACTACCGGCATCTGACTGGCCTCGAGGCATCACACCAAACTATTGAGAATAATCTTATAATTACAAACCCTTACAGACACCCGTGCTTACCATAATAGTGTGCTGACCAACAACCATGTTGGAACACAAAGCAGGCGTTCAAAAATTCATGTAATGCAAATACTGCAGTTTACATTTTTTTCAATTCAACAAATGATAAATGAACCGTACAATGATGTTAGCCAAACAAACTCGCCATGTTTTACAATGTATGCAATGTGAAATCGGGAGAATACAATGCTTAATCATGCCCACGTTGAGAAATCAACCATGAGGATTTGGACAACAACGTCTGTAAAACAGGGGGAAGGTGTTTTGAAATGTAGAAAATGTATTTGAAGGAGACAGAGAAGACATAGATTTTGGGAACCAGATATCTGTCTGAGGGGGAGGGGTAACTGTCACGAGGCCAGATGTTGTCATCTGATAATAAGTCAACATGTTCTGGTCACACCAAAGGCTCGTAAACCAGGGCAGAAACACGGCAGAAACTGATGGGGTATTTTGTGGGGGGAAATATCAGAAACAAATGTTAAATGGTGGGGAGGAAGTTGAATGACTCCTAGACATGACATATTGTTGTAGATTTGTATGGGTCAGCCCCTATCTCACATACGATCCCCTCTATCTCTCCCTTCACCACAGATCACCCAGACAACGGGCCTGGTTAGCTTCCCCATAGCAACACAAATATTTTTATTCTATTTTTTTTTACATTTTCTTTTAACAAAAACAGAAACTCCACCAAAAATGTTACCCAAAGGTAAGGGTTAAAGTAGCCATAATAAAAATATTTTAAATTTTTTTTGTAGACTTTCAAAATATTGTCATAATGATGTGTTGTGGAAGCTCGCTAGACTGACTGGGGATGTCGGCTGGGCAGGGCACATGGCGGTATGGAAGGGTAGGGTATGAGGAAGAATCTCTGAGATTAGGTTCCCTAGCATGCTAGCCCTGCACCTGATCATGCCAGTTGTGCACTTGGCTCCAGGCACTTATACCCTTATCAGTATAGCTAATCAGATCTCCACCTAATTGTATTATACATCAGGTCGATTGGCTGGTTACATACTGAAATGTTTTAATTCATTCAAATTTAATTCCATATCAGATTTGATAGTTTGAAATAATATCCCGTTTATCTACTGATAAAGCCTCCCTGAAACAACCTGCTGGTATATTGGCCAAGGTTTTCTGTTAGACTCTTGATATGAATTTAAAGAGTTTTATTTACGTTTTATTAACCTCTAATATCACAGGTAAAGAAATAAAATACACTTATTTTTGTAAAAGGAATAATTCAATAATGAGATAAAGTATATGACCTACCCACTGGTCGGGAATGGGAAGACAGGAGGTGGTGGTGTTGGTGGACGATTAAATCCGTAAATTTCTTCTTCCGTTTGTGTTCCTATTGATACCATGGTTGGAGATCTATTTTTCATTTTATTTTTGTTGACCCTGCGTAGAACCTCAACCACAATGGGCTCCTGCGCCGTGTGGAACGCCTCGACGGCTTCTTCGTGTGATGACTTGGATAAATCCTGACCATTTACCTGCAAAACACAAGAAATACTCTATATATAAATATCCGTAAGACAAGAAACACTATACGTAATTATCCGTAAGACAAGAAACACTATATGTAATTATCCGTAAGACAAGAAACACTATATGTAATTATCCGTAAGACAAGAAACACTATATGTAATTATCCGTAAGACAAGAAACACTATATGTAATTATCCGTAAGACAAGAAACACTATATGTAATTATCCGTAAGACAAGAAACACTATATGTAATTATCCGTAAGACAAGAAACACTATATGTAATTATCCGTAAGACAAGAAACACTATATGTAATTATCCGTAAGACAAGAAACACTATATGTAATTATCCGTAAGACAAGAAACACTATATGTAATTATCCGTAAGACAAGAAACACTATATGTAATTATCCGTAAGACAAGAAACACTATATGTAATTATCCGTAAGACAAGAAACACTATATGTAATTATCCGTAAGACAAGAAACACTATATGTAATTATCCGTAAGACAAGAAACACTATATGTAATTATCCGTAAGACAAGAAACACTATATGTAATTATCCGTAAGACAAGAAACACTATATGTAATTATCCGTAAGACAAGAAACACTATATGTAATTATCCGTAAGACAAGAAACACTATATGTAATTATCCGTAAGACAAGAAACACTATATGTAATTATCCGTAAGACAAGAAACACTATATGTAATTATCCGTAAGACAAGAAACACTATATGTAATTATCCGTAAGACAAGAAACACTATATGTAATTATCCGTAAGACAAGAAACACTATATGTAATTATCCGTAAGACAAGAAACACTATATGTAATTATCCGTAAGACAAGAAACACTATATGTAATTATCCGTAAGACAAGAAACACTATATGTAATTATCCGTAAGACAAGAAACACTATATGTAATTATCCGTAAGACAAGAAACACTATATGTAATTATCCGTAAGACAAGAAACACTATATGTAATTATCCGTAAGACAAGAAACACTATATGTAATTATCCGTAAGACAAGAAACACTATATGTAATTATCCGTAAGACAAGAAACACTATATGTAATTATCCGTAAGACAAGAAACACTATATGTAATTATCCGTAAGACAAGAAACACTATATGTAATTATCCGTAAGACAAGAAACACTATATGTAATTATCCGTAAGACAAGAAACACTATATGTAATTATCCGTAAGACAAGAAACACTATATGTAATTATCCGTAAGACAAGAAACACTATACGTAAATATCCGTAAGACAAGAAACACTATACGTAATTATCCGTAAGAATGAGGTAAGCAGGACAGAACAACATGACCATGAGATGCAGCAGAAACAGAGAAACACTTACAGATGAATCTCACCACTTGTATCCAATAGAATGACAGCCAGATTTAAAACCACACACCTGTACAGAAACACTGGCAATCGTGGAATATCATCTTTCCTTTCTTACTTCATTACACAAATTCCACACCAGAAAATGCATGTTTGCACTTTTTCCGCTCTATAGGTATTTAGGCAGAATTACAACTCTCTTAACAGATTCCTAAGGGCACCACCATCCAGATGCTGGTTTGGCTTCTCATTGCTAATGCATCAAACCATAAAAAAAAAAAAAACGAACCATCTACCTGGAAATCATGGCCGGAAATAACGGAAAACACCCATTTCTGTTTATTAGAATAAAATCCATTTTCTATGCATTAGTCTCCACAAAGTGTGAAATTAATTAATTATGATTATCAATCGACACCATCGCTGTTTTTCCCTATTTTATAGCCACAAGGGCGAGTTCTAGTGACTAACTAAAACACTTCTCCAACCAAGCACGACCTTTGTGTTGCTTTGGCTGTACTGGAGGTAGCTCCCACATCCGTACTCTACCTGTAACGGGACCCTGTCAATCAATAGCCCTACATGCATCACCGCCACAACCAGCCGATTACTCATTTAGGACAACGTACAAGTTATTACACAAGCAAATTTCACTTTCTGTATAAATATTTCATCTGTGGGCCCTCCATCAAGAAAGAAATGAATTGGCTTATCCAAGGGGTCATTAATACGCACAGATCTCTCATAAATATTTCCTTTTGTGTGGGTCAGCCACGCTACCCGAAAACTTCTACTCCAGAACTATATAGAAGAATATACTGTATTGTATCATAGTGTAATGGACTTATTTGATAACTGTCTACAATAATTACGCCAGTATTCTCTGTCTGTGATTTTAATAAGCTCCCACCATTACCAACAAATGGAATCACTCCTCAATGTCGCATACACACACACCCTGAAACGTATTCAATTTTATATCGGATCTACGATCAGTAACAATTAAACAACTTTCCACTGGGAAATTACAATTGAATGCTTTTAACTTTCCTCTCCAATTAAAATAAGTCCTATTCATCTTGTCAGCATGTGCCAGCGAGTGTACATCAGAAAATGAGGGAATTTAAAAAAATATACGTTTTTTGCTGTTAATGGACATTCTACATTCTATTACAATAACTGTAATCGCTTCCACTTGAACTGATGAAATTATCAAACGTTCGATTGATTGAATGACAAAAAAATCAACAGAGACAGCAATTTGTATTAAACTTTTTGTCGTTATCAATGACAAAATCGCAATGATGTTTTTTTTGCCGCCAAATTTCTAATCATATTAAAACTTTTGTAAATGCTGTCAATTATCATAATCAATTAGTTAGGGTGGGGAGGATTAAACGGGACCAGAAAGGGTTCATTGTGATGGTATCAACCTTTCACCTAAGTGTGGCAGACTATAACAACCAACAGACTGCACAGGAGATCACTTGGGCAGATTGTATGTACTAAGCACTGACAAAAAAAATCTCACAATTAGAGATTAAAACAGTTGCTCATATCAAATGTCCCAAACATTTAAACTAAAATGAGAAAGAGGGAATCAGTATACAGGGAAGATGTCATCAGTGTGTGTGGAATATGTCATCAGTGTGTGTGGAATATGTCATCAGTGTGTGTGGAATATGTCATCAGTGTATGTGAAAAATATCAGAATTATATGCAGAAGACGTCATCAGTATGTGTGTCATGTTTGAACAGCTGAAAGTACAAAATAATTTCTCTCAGAGGAGTGTCCAATCAAATTCATCCAAATACTTAATAAAAACCTTTTATCCAAGTATTGGGTGGCTCTGATTTCAGGAAGGATTGCAGCATTGTCTGTCGAAACATCTGATAAAATGTGCTACCAGACACAAGTAGTAGAGTAATTACATTGATACATGTTAGCCTAGGTCTCCAGCTCATCATCCGTCACACACTCATACTCAACATTACTTAAGTTGCCTGACAACATAAAAAGACCACATATCTAGCATAATAGAAAAACACAGCACATGATGAGGGCACAATAATGTGTTTACTTCAATATGCTCCCAATAGAACAGGACATCTTTCTGCCTACTCTCCAGTTAGCCTATTGTGCTTGGAATGGAATCTAGTACACACCCTTCAGACACCTTCTGTGTGGAGTCTCTATGGGGAGGGATTGTATACCTACAGGTACGCAGGAGGAAGACCAGGAGGAGAAGGAGGGGAGGAGATTGGCAAGGGGGAGGAGGAAAGATTGGCAAGGGGAGTAACCTAGTTTATTACTTATACATGTTAACAAGGGTAATGACCTGGTACACTATAGGTAGGGGAGGGGCAACTGGGGAGGGGGAGTTGACTGGGAATGAGGAGCAACCTAATTAGAACCTTATGTAGTGGCTTAGTGGTACAGGTTACAGTTGTAATACCAATCAGAGTAACATTGCCAAAGGTCAAAGGTTCTCATAAAGACAACTCAATCCAAACCTCCTCCAGCAACTGCCCAGTGCAAATGTAGATGGTAAGGATAATTGTCCCCACAAAGACAACCAAACCAAAACAATATCAAAGGGCAACTGTCCTCTAGAGGTCAAGGTCAAGGTCCTCATATAGGTAATACAATTAAGATCTCTCCCACTGGCAACTGTTCTCCAAACCAGATTACGGTCATGGTAAAGTATAATTCTTAATATATTAGGGCCAATAATATTATCAAAATCTTCTCATCGTAGTGCAGTATAAGCCAATATATATCAACACAGACCTCATACATAAAAGGTCATAGGTCATCAAGGTTTCTTGTCTAATAACCACTGTCTATCATTCTATTAGATCTCAGGGCTCTAAAAACACAAGTGGGTCAATGTTTCTAAAATCAATGAAGTACTGTTTGTGTGGTGTTATATCGGGGAACAGTGAATGTAATATCACACAAGAGTACAGCAGCTTATCAATGGATTACTGATGATTGGGGTTCTCATAAAAGGATATTGATGCAAAAAATAGTCTAAGATAAGACCAAAATTGAGGATGATTATACAAAAGTAGGGCAGATAAAATGCAAAAAATCTGGTACTGATTCCATCCGACAGCTGTACATGTGTCTGTAAAAAGGTTGGTCTGTTGGAGGTGGTCAATCTGATGATACCCTGCTTTATTTTCTAGGGTGTGAAAGATACAGAGGACGATAGAGGTAATGACTGGCAGTGAGGGCAGGCATTATTGGGTCTTTATAAAAATAGTCACACAGCATCTATATATAAATAGTCGCACAGCGTCCACTATCGGGGCCACATATATAGTTAAACAGCATCATTTATAGGGGCCATGGTCACTTAGTGTCCATTAAAGGGGCCACATACATGTATATAGTCACACAGCATCCATTTTAGGGGCCATTATCAATAAGTGTTCATTGTAGGGGCCACAGCTAAACAGGGTCCTTAAGGGTTAGGGTTATACATGGTCCATTATAGGGGCCATAGTCACATATTGTGGTGTCCATTATTGGGCCATATATATATATATATATATAGTTATACAGCCCTAACCATTTTGTTCTAAAACACCATTTAACTGAATAGGCCAGAGAAATTATTTTTTTCAGAAG